TTTCATTTAGCATTTCTTGTAGTGTGTCTGCTGTGAACAAATTGTCTTAAGTTTTCTTTATCTAAAAATGTCTTTATTTCACCTCCTCAAAATATGTTTTTGTGGGATATAGAATTCCATTTTGGCCTTTTTCCCCTCCCCTTCAGCATTTTAAAGATGTTGCACTACTAGTTTTTTTTTTTTTCATCCATAATATCTGTTGGGAAATCTGTGATCTCCAGAATTATGGTTCCCCTATATATAACATGTTATTTTTCTCTGGCTGCTTTGAGGAGTTTCTATCTTTGGTTTTCAGTAGTTGGATCATGATATGCCTAGGCAGGATTTTCTTTGTATTTATCTTGTGTTTGTTGAGCATTTTGAATCTGTAAATTTATGTTGCTGGCCAAATTTGGTAAATTTTTGGCTATTCTTTCTTTAAATAGTTTATTCTGCCTAATTCTTTCTCTTCTCTGAGACTCTACTTACCTGTATATTAGACCTTTTGATATTGTCCCACATGTTCCTCAGCCTCTGTTAGTATTTTTCAATCTTTTTTTTTTTTTAGATTGGATAATATATACTGATCTGTCTTCAAGTTCCTGACAGTATTCTCTGTCAAATCCATTCTGCCATTAGGCCCAGTCAGTAAATATTTTAATTTCAGGTATTGTATTTTTTCTTAAAACTTCCATTTAAATCTTTTATATATTTGATTTCTCTGCTGAGATTTACTCTCTTTTGCTTTATATCAGTGTATTTTTCTTTACCTCACTGAACGTAGTTATATTAGTTGCTTTAAAGCCGTTGTCTGATAATTCCAACACACGGATCACCTTGAGTTTAGCTTCTCTCAATTATCTTTTCCTTTGAGAATAGGTCCCGTTTTCTTGGTACTTTGTATGTCAAGTAATTTTGGGTTGTGTCCTAGACATTATGGAAATTATTTTTTGGAGTTGCTGGATTTTGTTATATTCCTCTGGGAAGCGTTGATGCTTTTGTTAAGTAGAAAATTAACTTGGTTAGAAACAAACTGAAAATTCTGTCTTGCTTACTACAGGTAACAGCTTAAATCTCACTTCGGTTCATTTATCTGGACAAGTGGAGGGATATTCTACTTTTGGTTCTTTTACCTGGGTTGCTTGCATATTATTCAAATCAAATTAGGACTTCGCCAGAGATTGTCTAAGTTTATATACAGAGTTTAGAGTTCCCCTCTCTGGCTTTCTCTTTTTAAGAATTTCTGCCTCATTCTCTAGCTGCTTTGGGTTCCCTTCCTTTGGTTCCTCAGGCCAGAAAGATAGCAGGCTTTCTATGAGAGTTTTTGCACCCTGCACTACACTACAAGTTTTGCTTCCACACTGATTAAAGCTACAAAAATGAGAAACTCACTCTATGTTGGTCATTTCTTCCAAGTTTTGAATCTACCTGCTTCTGTTCATTCTCCTTACCCCCCATTTATTATTATTTTATTTTTTTTGTTTTTTTTGTCTAGAGCTTATAGTTGTTAAATGCAAAAAGGTCAGTCTTAGGTGCTTACTCCTCCATACTAGAAGTGGAACTCCCCAAACTAATGGTGTGTAGTACCTGCGTATAACCAGGTACATTCTCTTGCATACTTTAAATATCTCTAGATTACTTACAATACTTACTTAATACAATGTAAAGACTATGTGAATAGTTGTTACACTGTATTTTTGTTTGTATTATTTTTTATTGTATTGTTTTTATTATATTTTTTCAAATTTTTTCAAATATTTTCAATCTGTGGTAGGTTGAATATGGATGTGGAACCCATGGGCATGAAGGGCTGAATGTAATTAATTTTTCTTATATTTAAAAAAGTATTGGTTAGTGATGGTTTGAAAATTAAAAACAAAACACTGTTCCTTCCCCCAGATAGTTTGATCAACACTGGCCTAGATTGCAAACAAAATAGTAACTTTTGGGATGGCCTCAAGTTAACAATTTAATGTAAGAGATAAGTCTAGACTGTAATTTGATTATAGCAACAGTTCCTGAATAACCCAGTCTAGGCTGATATGTCCTTTTAAAAGATGAGAAAACTGAGGTACAGGATGTCCTAATCAAGTTGATTTCTCTTGAGTGAATGGCATAGCAGCCAATGTGTCAGAAAAGGAATTCGGGAATAATTTAACTTTCATCTGAGGTTAAAGTATTCTTTGCTTGCTTTTTCACTCTGAGAAGTTACTGTTTTACCATTCAGGTTAGAAGTAAAGCAGTAAGTTCAGTGGAAAAACAATAGTATAGATCTATTTACTGAGAACCTACTGTGCAACCAACTCTGTGTAGAGAAAAACAACTTATTATGTAGATTATTTTTATTCCCAATTTAGAGATGAGAAACAACTTAATCACAAGCATAAAGCAAGCTTAGTTACAGAACCAGGATGTCAATGCAGTTTTGTCTGGTTCCAAAGTTTCTACACTTAAGTACACTGTTCCTTATTAACCACTAGATAGAACTATACACAAATTATTACATCATTGGGCAGAAGGCTTCAAGTGCTCTATTAACACAGAAATTAACTGGGTAGGAGAAAGTACATGGGTCTCCTATTCAAGGGTTCATCAATCTTCACCATACATACTTTGGTAAATATAAATCAAATTATCAGGCAACACTGAGTTAGCATTTTGGAGGGCAGGTAGGGATGGGGAAGAAATGAGTAAATTCTTCTATGACTCATTGTAGATATTTATGCTTGTTAAAAAATGTTTCTTTCTGACTACCTATTCTCTCTGCCTATCATGGGAGTACAGGCAAGGTCTCTATAAAAATTACAGAAATAAAAAGAATCTGTTGTCATCTGTCTTTACCAAGCTGAAGAATGGAATAGAAAGTCTAAGCCTTTTGTGCTTAAACATATATTCCTTTATTAATAATTACTCTAGCTTACGCTGAGGATAATTAGGCTAGGTTATTCTTTTGGGGAATGCATTTGCAAGTTAATATTTCATTGGTTACTATACTTTTTTTTTTTTTTATGCACGCCTGGCTAATTTTTCATTCTTTGTAGAGACAGGGTCTTGCTATTGCCCAGGCTAGTCTCGAACTCCCGGCATCCCGCAATCGTCCTGCCTGGGCCTCCCAAAGTATTTGCTGAAAAACAAAGGCATGAGTCACCATGCTCAGCCTGTGGGCACTAAAGATTTTCTTAAAAACATCAATTGTACAGTATAAATTAAATCTAATTTAAATTAATATAATTCTCTTTATCCTAGTAAGGAAGTTTTTTTTTTTTTTAAAGGAATCATTTTCCAAGTTTTTACAGAAATAATCTTTGCAAAATTTTATACCACATACATGAGGTGACTGGGATTCACACTCAATCAGAAAAATTCCTTTATGGTGTCCTTTCTATGGCCTTCCTGTATCCTTTGTAACAGAAAATTACTAATGGGAGTATTTCCCATTTACCCAGTTCCTGTTCTCTTATCATAGTTCTATCTCTTCACACTCCCTTCCTGCTGTGCAGGGAATTAAGGGGGTGGGGGTGGGAAATCACTAAAAGTTTGCCCTCTATCTAACACAATCCCATCCAGTAGTATATGCATCTAATTCTTTTTGCATATATTAACAGTTCCCTACTCATTCCCTCTTTCATACTTTTTTTTGTGGACAATGGATTAATGATAAAGGGCTTTTCCTCTACTGACACTTCCAGACCATACAAACCGACTCAATCCAAGTCACTGTAGGACTGAAAGTTTCAGCTTCTTCCCCAGTGCCCTTTCCACAATGTTGGGCCAGTTGGGCCAGGGGTGGAATGGAAACAGAGTATTAATTTTTTTCTTACCTGTGGTATACTTCCTTCATTATCCTTCCCTTACCAACCACTTTTTACTTCCTTGCTACCCTTTCTATATATTCTTTTTTTTTTTTGAGACAAGAGTCTCGCTCTGTTGCCCTGGCTAGAGTGAGTGCCTTGGCGTTAGCCTAGCTCATAGCAACCTCAAAATCCTGGGCTCAAGCGATCCTTCTGCCTCAGCCTCCCGAGTAGCCGGGACTACAGGCATGCGCCACCATGCCCGGCTGATTTTTTCTATATATTTTTAGTTGTCTGATTAATTTCTTTCTATTTTTTTTTTTTTAGTAGAGACGGGGTCTCGCTCTTGCTGAGGCTGGTCTCGAACTCCTGAGCTCAAACAATCTGCCCGTCTCAGCCTCCCAGAGTGCTAGGATTACAGGCGTGAGCCACCAGGCCCGGCCTATATATTCTCATAACATCTACCATTTATTGAATTTATGTTAGCAACTGTTTATATACATTAGTCCATTCAACCCTTATGAAGTTCATATAAATACTAATGGCTAATATCTGAGTGCCTACTATGCGCCTAGCATTGCTTTACGCATTTTACACTTATCAACTCATCTCATCTGTGAGGCTATTATTCTTCTTCCTTTCTTTTTTTTTTTTTTTTTACAGGTAAGGAAGCTCATGTTCAGTGCCCTAGGTTACACTGGCAATTGGCAGAGTCAGAATTTGAATCCATGTCTGCATGGCTCTACAGCAGCATCCTCGCCCCATGATCGCTATTTTCAGCTCCTGATCTGGTGAACATTCACCATCTCATCCCTGGTGTCCTCATCCTTTAAGTACCCCTATGTTCCCTTCCTCCCTCCTTGATGCACTAGTTCCATCTGCCCTTTCATTCTAAAGCCCGCCCACATTTCTCTCATTACCTCGTCCTCTCATCTTCCTTGACCCCCACATTTCTGTCTCAGTCATCTCAGTGCCCTCAAATCCTCCTCTCTTTTTTTGTTGAGACCTTAGTATTCTCTCATTCCTCTTATATCTAGAACTCCTCCTCCTTCCCCAGAGTCATCCCTCCCGGCTAAGCGGACCCTCTCACTCTGGGAGCCGCCACTTCCCAGTCCCCCGATGCCAGAGGCTGCACAGGGGACGCAGCGAGCACTGCGTGTCTGGGCCGGCGTCCGAGGGGCGCCGTGGGGTCTTCCCACTCCCCGGCAGCCCCCGGGCGCGGTGCAGTCTGGGGGAACATGGCCGCTTCCGGTCTCCCTCCTGGGCCGGCGCTGCCCTGACCGCGGCTCCTGCCCGGCGCACTGCGCCCTCCGCTTCTCCCGCCTGGCAGCGGCGGAGGCAGCTTCAGCCTTTCCCTCCTGCTGCCCCGCTGCGCGATGGAGAAGAGCTCAAGCTGCGAGAGTCTTGGCTCCCAGCCCGCGGCGGCCCGACCGCCCAGCGTGGACTCCCTGTCCAGGTAACCGGGACGCCCAGGGCCCCGCCCAGCTTCTGAGGGGGATGGAGAGGCGCCGAAGACCCGCTGGATGGTGCCCCAACTCTCAGATTCTGGTTGCTGAAGCCTGCGCCGGAATTCCTTCCCTGGACTTGGGAACCACTTCTTCTCTCTCTGGGTCGTAGAGGCTGAGGAAAAGGAGGTTAAAACTCGTTGCTGCTCTGTCGGTTTCTCTGCCTTTCGTATTGCTATCTTGTTTTTTCCCTGGCGGAGGTAGCCCCAGTTAATTAGTTTCTCTTATCTCTCATTCCCTCTCAAATCTTATATTCGACAGCCCTTCCCCCACTCTTTCCCCCCTCATTTCCTGCTTTCTCTCTTTACCACTTTTTCCAAAACCATCCTCCAGTCTGTCTTCCTTCTTCCATCCTTTCTTATGTCTTTGGATTCTTGCCCAATCCTTTTCTCTTCCATCACTTCACTTCCTTATCTCTTTCACGTTTTCCCCTACACTCTGATTTTCTCCCCGCCCCCCCTTTGCTTAAACATGTAAATAAAAATGTCTCCTGCGCCTCTCTTTTCTAAAATTTCCAGCTGAAAGTCAGTATGAAGGAATCTGAGTAGTCTTTATCCCCAGTGATTGGTTTAAGAAACCAACATGAGTAGTGGTTTTCTTCCTTCTTTGGCTACCGGTTCTCCAGGTTGTCATTTCTCTTGTAACAGATGGGAATTTTATCCTGGAATTTTGAGGACTTTAGTTTATGCAGCTTTGCAGAGAGCTGTTGTGAATATTAACTAGACATGTTTTGGATGCAGTCTTTTTCTTTGATTTAAAAAGAGTGATTTAAAGTTTTATTGAGAAATAATAGAAGACCTGTAGTTTCTTCTTATACAACCACAGTGAAATCAGGTTCTTTTCCACTGAAAAATAGTCTAATTGTTGTTAGAGTTATTAGATACTAAACTGTTGTGTGAAACACAGTTTTCATTTTCTCCTTTGAATAAATTGAAGTTGTTCTGTCTTTTAATTCATTTTGGGCTCTGCTACATATGGGTGGTATTTTCATTTTTTCCTATTGGTGTTTAGTAACTAATTGGGGAACCACTGTCTGATCCCATCATTCTAAATTAGATTTCTCTACCTGTATGCACTCATAGCTCCCTGCTCACTACTTTTTCAGAGTTCTTAACAAGCACTCTGTAATTGTTGCTTTAATTGTCTTTTCTACTAGGCTGTACGCTATTTGAGGATAAGGATCATATCTTAAACATTTTCATATTGCCAGCACTTAACATAGATCCTGCATGTGATAGGTGCTCAATAAATGGTTTTTGAATTTGTAGACTGAATTATCCAGGAGAGAAGAATTTTTCTTTGCAGTTGATTGTTTATTGCATAGTTGTTTTAAGTAGTTTTTGAATTCTATATTTAGTACTGTGAAATTTAGAAAGCTGACGATTTACATGCTCAGCTGTAAAATCCTTCATTCACAAAACAGGTTAGAAAATTATAATTTTATAGGAAAGTTGCAAATGACAACTATTGTTTAGAATAGAATATAAAGAAAACAAATGAGGCAACCAGAACTCTTATCCAAGGGAGAGGGTTTAGATCCATAGGAGGCAGCATAGTATGTTAGATAAAGGAAGTACTGGAAGTCTGGAGGCTCCCAAGCTTAAGTTCCTGGCTCACCTGGTTATTTGGTCTGTATCATTTAACCTTTCTAAGTCTGCAGTTTTCTCATTTTTATTTTATTTTTTTAAAGAGGTTGGTCTAGAAAATCTGTAAGGTTCCTTGGAGCTCTAAAATTCTATCGTTTTTTATCTTAATGATAATACTAAGATAAAGGCATTCTTATCAATACCAATGTAATCCCTTTACGAAGAAACCTTTGTTTTGGATTTTTGAAGTGACACTAAGTGTTATCTCTTATTATTACAAACTAATGTACATAACTGTGCCACTTTCGCACATTTATTTCTTTCTTTTTTTTGAGACAGAGTCTCACTGTGTTGCCTGGGCTAGAGTGCCGTGACGTCAGCTTAGCTCACAGCAACCTCAAACTCCTGGGCTCAAGCAATCCTCCTGCCTCAGCCTCCCGAGTAGCTGGGACTACAGGCATGTGCCACCATGCCCGGCTAATTTTTTTCTATATATTTTTAGTTTTCCGATTAATTTCTTTCTATTTTTAGTAGAGACAGGGTCTCGCTCTTGTTCAGGCTGATCTCGAACTCCTGAGCTCAAACAATCTGCCTGCCTCGGCCTCCCAGAGAGCTAGGATTACAGGCGTGAGCCACCGTGCCTGGCCTTCACACATTTATTTCTTAAAAAAATAGAAAGCCTAGCAAGTTAAAGTTTATATATTTTAACTTCTTCATAAAAAATTGTTACTGACATATGAATTTGAGAAAATTAAGAACTCAAAAGAATATTGATTGTAATAGGTTAGCCTCATCCTCTCTGGGCAAAAATATAAATATAACATCTCATTTTCCACAACAAAATGCCAGCTTTCATTCCTCTCCTCTGGAAGGTAGAAAAATAACATTTAATTGAATGTCTACTGTATAGAAGTTAATCTGCTAAATTCTTTCATATCTTTTATCTCATTAATCAATATACCTGTTTGTGGCACTCTCTTTAATCAACAGTATATAATAGCTGCACTACAGGCAGTAGTTACAAAGCTTAATTTTCTTTTTTTTTCCTAAACCTTAATTTTAAACTTAATCTAGACTAACAATCCACAGGTGATTCTAATTAATACATAGCGAGGACTACCATGGTTTTAATACCTATGTTAAGTGTCTATCTAGATTGTTTGAGTTTTCACTTTTGTTACATGACAAAGAAAAATATTGATGTTTGGACTATATTATCTCAGCCTTTTGCAGAAATGTCGGCCTTAAATTGTGGTTTATTTTTATGCTTTCTGTTTTTATATAGAGGCTTAATTGGGAAATTGCCTTCTGATTTTTTTTATTATTATTATGATTCAGGTTTATTTGGAAGTCAATATTTTTTTTTAATTTCATCATATTATGGGGGTACAGATGTTTAGGTTACGTATGTTGCCCTTCCCTCTCCCACCCCCGAAGTGAGAGCTTCATGCGTGTCCATCCCCCGGATGGTGCTTGCAAAACAATAGTTAATAATATTGTTAAATGTATCACAGAATGACTCTCACAAGATAAATTAACATAAATTTCTGCTGAGTTTAGCTACAAGGAAAATCGTTTATGAAAAAATTGTATAAGCTCCCTGTTGGAAAATGGGAACTATATATCTAGTCACTGCATCTTTCTCCTTCAGCTTATTAAAAAACTTCAGTCAAATTTATACTTGAAGTTGGTAATATACTCATCTCGAGTTTCTTCAAGTACTTCTACTATTAGATGAACTCAGTTTAAATATTATGTATTATGTTTAAGTGTGTTAATTTATAAGATGTCTTAAGCCCGTCTGGGATGTAGGAAGAAGGGAAAAATAATACACTAACCCATCTGGTTGCCCATTGTTTTTTGAAAATGACATACTCCACTGAAGTGGGATGAAAGGCTGTTGTGCCGTCTGTAGTTCACACTAAACATATGTCGAGTCTTGATATATATCTGTAGTCATTTCGTTGCTTCTAGCTTTGCCTTCTATCTCCTCATAGGCCTGATGCCTTTGGTCACAAAAAAGCAATTTCATTCTTTATATGATATCCAGTTGGTAGTTTCTTAATCAACTATAGTTATGTCATGCATCTTTTTAAAAAAGTAGTTTTCTTTGGCGATCCTGCTTTGGTATTGCCATATTTCAGTGAAGTGTTCAGCAACTCTTGTGTATCCTGTTCTTGTCCATTGTACAGCTTTACAGAGAGAAAGAATTGTGAAAAGCTTCACTTTAGCATACTGGTAATCAATTTAGCTATATTCTGTAATTTTATTCTTATTGGTCTTGCTCTGATTCTTGATGTAAGTATGACTCTATAGGATATAGATAAAATAGTACTGTAGTCAGATGTGATAGCGTGGGTAGGCTAAGCCTCAGAACTGTAATAAGTTATACAGCAGAATTTGATACTATATTGGTAATAGTCTCCCATCTTAGTCTGGTTTTCCATTTTTCAGTTTGTACACTGTTATAAACTGTACTGCTTGAGTAGGTTTCTTTGATTACTTTTTACTGTGCATAATCATATGATAAGATGTCTGGTGCCAAGTTAGTGCTCAGCGAACATCTGAATAAAGGAATGTTGACTGAATGTTAACCACTAGGCTTATTTTCCCATTCAAAGGATTATAAGGGGTTTCTTTTGTTGAATTTGGCCTGAACAGTTACAACTTTAGATTCAAGCTGAAGTATTTTTGTATGAAGCCTCTTGACATCCGGAGCTGATTTTACTGGCTGCATTATTTTTCTGTGTACAGTCCTATATATGTGGAAATTATTATGTTCCCTTCACCTATCTGTTTTTCCATCTGCTACTTTTGATTACTTTGGCCCCTTTTCCTCTAATTTCTCTTGTTAGTTGTTTTATTTAATGTTAGTTTTTCATCTTTCATATATCCTCATGCTTTAGTTACTCTGGCACCACACTTTTTTATCTCAGATTATTTTGGTTTCATTGATTTCTAGTATATACATTTATTAGCATTAATGACCATCCCATATTTACATTTAACTTATATTAAAAAAATCAAAGGGAAGGTACACATACTCAAATAAAGTAATTCCCATTTAAATTTCATGTCTTCCTTAAAATTATCATTTGAAAACAGCAATTCTTGGATTTCTGTTTCCATGAATTTTGATTATACTTATAGCCTGAAGAAGTAGAAGAATTTCCAAGATTTCTGAAACATATTTTGTTGCAAGGTCTTATTTTTAGTTTCAGCCTCAATGTCACCTAAAGGTGATAAGTTGGTAGAAAATGTGCTTTTGGGTTGTTTTTCAGTAGTGGTAATGGGTTTGTGTGCAGTTACACATTCTTACCCATTCCTCTTGTGACTCTTGGCATGTTTTCTGAGACAGCTTGCAGAATTAGAGGTAGGAACTATAGCTGTAGAACAAAATGAAGCTACCAGGTTGAACCTACAACCTTGGCATTATTATTAGAACCTGTGTCAAACATTGAACATATTGGTAGACTAAAAATTACTTATTTTGGATTTCATTATTCAAGGACCCTAAAAGAACTTTAAAGTTCTCTTAAAATAAGATCCAATATTGTGAACTAATCAGTAATTTTTGTGTAGATTTTTCAAAAAAGACATTTAAAGAGAGTAATTACTAATCAGAAGTATGCCAGTTAATACTGAAGCTGAGATTGGGTCCTGTATACTTTTTTTTCTCCTTATGCTATCTATCATCAATAGTTTTCTGTTAGTATAGATCATTAGTTTCTAAAATGTGGTTCTTAGACCAGGAGCATCAACATTACTTAGGAATTGTTAAAAATGCAAATTCTTGGACCCTACCTTAGATTTAACAATCAAAAACTCTGGGCATGAAGCCCAAGAGTTCGTGTTTTAGCAAGCCTTCCGGGTGATCCTGCATTCTGAAGTTTTAGAACCACTACCTTGGCTCTTTTGCTAATTAGTGCCTTGTAACTCCATTAACATTAGTTGAAACGGACTAAGGTCTATGTTAGAAGTATTATAAGCCTATTACTTGAGGGCATTTTTGTAACAATGTGGACTGAAGTAGTAGAAGGTTAAGTTATCTAATCAATTTCTTATATCTGATTTCTAGGTCATTTCCTGAGGTATTTTCTTTCTCAGCCATGAGTAACACAAATCAAGAGTATGTTTTAGGCTTTTTCTTAAAAATAGATTCTTAGTGAGATAGATTAGTGGAAACAAGCATTTTAAAAAAGTACAGTTGACTCTTGTACAATGTGAGTTTGAACTGTGCGGGGTCCACTTATATATGGATTTTATTACTCTGCCTTCCCTGAAAGAGCAAGACCAATCCCTCCTCTTCCTCTTCCTCCTCAGCCTACTCACCACTGTGAAGATAATGTCTTTTATAATGACCCACTTCCAGTTAATGAATAGTAAATACATTGTGATTTCCTTAATATTTTCTTCTCTTTAGCTTACTTTATTGTAAGAATACAGGATATAATAGGATATAATACATATAACATACAGAATATGTATTAATTATTTATGTTAGCAGTAAGACTTTGATTAACAGTAGGCTATTTATTAGTAGTTAAGTTTCTGGGGAAGTGAAAATTATACATGGATTTTTCACTGTGAGGGGGTTTGGCACCCCTCACTCCTGTGTTGTTCAGTGGTCAACTGTATTACAAAGAAGTAATTCCAGGAGGCCATCACCCGAGCCAATAAAACCTTGGATTATGCCCAAGGGAAGGAAATAACCTGGATACAGATGTCCAGAAAGCAGTAAGTTTATTTTGGAAAGCTGCCAAGTTAATGCTATTGTATGCAGAATCACCAGGACCAAAGATTGCACGTGATTCAGGATTTGAATAGTGGAAATTCTCCAAATTTTAGTGTGGAATATTTTCCCTTTTTAAGGAAAATGGTTTTGAATATGTAAAGCGCTTGCTGTCTTTGTGTCTACTCTATCATTAGCTAAATCAGTGGATAGTGTTAAAGACTGTTAGAGAGGTGATATTCAGTGAAGGATAAGGAGTGATTTTATAAACCTGCTTTCCACAGGAAGTCAGGTTAAAAATGGAACTCTAAAAAAGGTAAGATTGGTACAAAATTATTAAAATAAAAGGGACTATGGAAGATGCCTTCCTAATAAAAATAATAACTTCAGTTCCCTTTCCTGTAGCTTTATTACACAGAACTAATTGTGCTTATTCCACTTAATGTGTTTCTATATATGTACCAATGTTGTCATCACTATAGAGCATTAATGAGCAAGCTTCATAATCCTTCCTTTGCCTAAGTAATAGGACCCATGGCAATAATCACTGATGAATTTTCATTCTTTCAAAGACTCTTACTTCATATATAACTTTTGGGCTCTTTAACTACTTTTTAGTCTAGATTAAATGAGGATAGATACTGTGTTTTAAATACAATAAAAATTAACTTTAAAATATGCTTTAATATATATAGTTCAAAAAATCTAAATATTGTTATTTGGAAAAAATTTTCCTTTTTTTTTTTTTTTAAAGTTAGAGTGTAGCTTTAGCAGAGTATAACAGAAAATCCAAACTAACAGTGGCTTAAAACAAGAGGTATTTAATTTTTTCCCCACATGAAAGCCTGGAGATAGTCAATACAGATCTGATATGGTGGATCTGATGTATCAAGAACCCAGATTGTTCATATGTCTTACATTCCAAGGTTACCTCGTGAACCAAAATTGCTGTTGGAGCTTTAGCCATTGAATCTTGAGGAGAAGGAGAAGAAGATATTCCTTCTCTTTTAAGGGTACTTTTTTGGCAGTCACGTGTAGTTTTTTAACTTACATCCAGTTGGCTAGAACATGGTCCCATGGTTGTACCTGGCCACACGGGAGGCTAGGATATGTATTCTCTTCTGGGAGGCCTTTAGCTTCTGCTGAGCTAAAAATTGGAAGCTCTAACACTAAGGAATAGGATAGAATGGGTACTGGAGACGCCAGCATCTTCTCCCATTGTATATAAATGAGTCATTGAAAGGCAAGGAAGACATTTTCCAGTTAAGTCTATGACACTTACTTATGCCAGAGACACTATTAGATTTGCAAATGCAATAACCAAGAAAGAAAATACACTGAAAAAGAGAGGGAATATATTGTGGAAGACCAAAAAAGAAAATTGTTTCTTGGAATACTCTGAACTCCGAGTTTAACTTTCTACTTTTTTGTGTCTTATCTTAGGGCTAGATTTTTATTATCCTAATTTAGGACCATAAAATGAAAGTGATACATTTAATAATTGCTAGATCATTCAGTGATGAGCAAATAGAAATCAAATGAAGAATGATTGCTGTGCTTTTTAAAATTATTTCATTTGAAGAGCTCAAGGAATTGCATGATAAATAGAATACTGCATCAGATTCTACTTAGGTATTTTCTCTCATTTCAGTTGTAAGGGTGTGGTCTCCAAAAGGGAAATAAAGCTTGCCATTTTAGTTTACGAATGCTTTTGCCAATATTTTGTGTTTTGATATCCTTAATCTAAAAATTTTATTGAAAATCCAGAGAAATCAGTGTCTTATGTGTTCTTGTCACCTAACTTAAATATTAATGTTTTAAACATATATTCAAACATATAAGGAGTTTAATCATTTGGGAGTGAGTGAGGAGGGTAGATAAGCCTCCTCTGGATTGATAAAACATTGATTCATCAGGCTCAAAGGGGCTTACTAGGCATGTCATAAATATATCCATTTCCCTTCTCTGTAGAATTACTTTCACTGATAGCAGCAAATGAGCAGTTTGTTAAGTAGGGAGTAGGCTTTGTCTGGAGGTTGTGCATCAGCAAAAGGGAAAATAACTGGCTGATGATGGGTTAGTGATTACAAGCCTTAATTTTCTTTTCTTTTTCTTTTCTTACTCTGTTGCCTGGAGTGCAGTGGCATCATCGTAACTCACTGCAGCCTCTCTAATGCTTGGGCTCAAGCAATGCTTCTGCCTCGGCCTCCCGAGTAGTTAGGACTATAGGCGGGCACCACCACATCTGGCTAATTTTTTTTTTTTTTTTTTTTTGTAAAAACTGGGTCTTGCCGTGTTCCTCAGGCTGGACTAGAACTCCTGGCCTCAAGTGATCCTCCTGCCTCAGCCTCCCAAAATGGTAGGATTATAGGCGTGAGCCACTGTGCCCGGCCACACCTTAATTTTCTTGAGCTGAGCCAAGATGCCCATCAGAGGTCAAAAATAAAATTTTATATGGTACAAATATCCTCTGTTACTGATACTGGATAACATTCTTCAATTATAACCAAAGGCAGTACTTAAAGATAGAAACACCTGAGATAAGTTTTACTTTCCAAGTGGTAGACAGTCATAGTAATAAATTAATGCTATTAATATTAAACATAACAATACTAATATAAATAATAGCACTTAACATTTATTGTGTGCCTACTTTGTGCTGGACATGGTGCTAAATCTCTTCTTATGCATTTTTTCATATAATCCTCGTAACTGGGTAAAGTAGGTAGTATTAATGTTTCCACTTTACAGATAAGAAAACTGAAGATTTGAGAGAGCAGTTTGACATTTGAATTCAGGTCTGTTTGACTTCAGGGTCAATGTGCTATAGAGAACTGGTCATACCTGAGATCTGGTGCTCCAGTTCCAGGACAAAGCTTTGTGGTTAGAGGGCAGTCCCAGGGCAGGTTGACTGGGTGGTAGTGACGAGGACATAGTTTTCTTGACCCACCACCTTGCTGGAAGAGGATAAAGGTACACAATACATTCACACATTGAGAGTATCTGTATTTGGTGAGAATTTTATCTAGCTGTGAATGTTTTTTTCTTTTGACAGAATGTTTTTTTCTTTGCCTGATGATTAAGACTGTACTATCATTTTCATTCAAAAGAACAGTTTTATTATACATTTGGAGGATCAGAGAAATTAAAAAGCAAGTAAGCATAATGCCAAAGCCTCCTCTCCCCTATAGGCTTTACACTATAATTTAGAATACTTTATTCTAGGGTTCCTTAAATATCTGAATTCCCTTAAGTTCCTTTGTGTTTGTTTACAGTTAATGTGTTAAGAGCCATTGACATTTGAAGATCATCAGAAGTGAAGATAAAACATCTCAAAAATTATAATGTAAGTGAATGGGAACATGCAGATAAAAATGGACAAAAGTTAATATTGCCAACAGTATTTCCAGAATCCATATATTATCCTAAATGAAATTTGCACATATGAGTAACCAGTAACTTCAATCTTCAGTCCCAATTCCAAGTCCCTGTCCTTAAAATTCTGTCTTCTTTTCTACCTGGGGAAAATAGTCACTAAGTTTTAGTCATCCAGTAATTTTCCATTAGAATTTTTTGGCTTCCATCTACTGTTTTCTTCCTTTTCCTCCTTGTACTTTGCAGTTTGACTTGAGAGGAGCATGACAAGGGGTTGTGTTATATTTAAAAACGTATTTGTGTAGAGACTGAGGTCTTTGCTTTCCAGCTATTGATACACATTGTGTATGTTACCTCACTTTACTACTGTTTTGTATGTTTCTTCTTAGGCAAAAATATGTTAGCTAGCTAGCCTCCCCGCTTTCTTTCCCTCACGTCTTCTTTACTAGCATCCTTCCTCTTTCCCTTCCTTTCTTCCTCTCTGTAAATATTTGTTTAGCATCTATTATGCACTGCACACTATGCTAGATCCAGAATTCCTATGAGCCTGGTGCTGAGATGAGTTATATCATCTTTTTATATTCTTAGTCGCGTTAGAGATTATCCAATTATAGTGTTTCTCAAGTGTGACTGAGGACCACCTGCATATTTCACTCAACTGTTGGTGAACACTTTACTTCCTAGGTTCCTGTTTACACATTCTGACATTCTGAATCATTGGGAGTGACATTAAAAATTTGCACTTAGAATAATAATAATAAAAACACAAAAACAAGAATTTGCACTTAAAGGTTTGAAAACCACTGATCCAGATGCTTTTTGGATTTTAGTCTAGAATAATTTGCCGAAAGGTACAATATATGTTAGAATGTAAGGAAAGATGGTGATTTTTCTTCTAAAGTTACAGAACTATTTAGTGCCATAGATGATCTTCTGACTCCCAGTTCTAGACTTTACCAAGTAATTTCATGATTTTTGTTGGTCCGTACAGCTTCACTGTGTTTCATGTCTATAGGACCCTACCCTTATACCATATATAAGATCATAAGCAATCCATCGCTGTTCCTGAAAAAAATAACTAAAAGCATATATGGGTTATGTGTATGAAAAACATGTACTGTTTCTTCATCTTCAGGTATGTGACTGATTCTGATTTTGAAATCATTGAGTGATAGACTTGGCAGAGAAAAAAAATTTTTTTTTTGTATCCATAGTATTATTCCTACCTGGACTTTAAGTTTTATGCTTATGAAAAGGAGGACTGGATTTCATTTTTGAATGAAGTAGTAGGCACAAATTTCATAGTGCTTTGCAAGTAGTAGGTACTTGGTAAACTATACAATGAACAGTTTACTGTTAAAACTTTGTTTTTCCCTTTGGATTCGATTCTGTGAAGTACACTATTAAGAGTGGTGTTACTTGCTTTGTACAGAATCTCATGCTTTATATACCAAGCCAGAGACCTTAAATAATTGAAATTATTTATATT